TATCATGAGAACAGCATGGGAAAGACTTGCCCTGAAGATTCAATAACCTTCCACTGGGTCCCTCCTACAATAAGTGGGAATTCAAGATGAGATTTGGGTGGGGACACAGCCAAACCATATCAGTTATTTTATATATGTGATATATATTATATAAATATATATATATATAACAAAAAAGAAAAATTTATATATATAAATAAAACAAAAAAACAAAAATTACATAGTCATCTCAATAGAAGCAGAGAAAGCATTTGATAAATCCAATACCCATTATGATAAAATCGTCATAAAACATAAGAATAGAAGAAAACTTCCTTATTCTAATAAAGGGATCTACAAGAATCTTATAGCTAACATCATACTTAATGGTGAAAGACTGTATAGTTTCCTCCTAAGGTCAAAGGAAGAATGTCCACTCTTACCACCTCTAGTCAATGTTGTACTGGAGATTCTCACCAGAAAAAGAAGACAAGAAAAAAATATCTGTATTGGCAGGTGACATAATCTTGTACATAGAAAATAATGAACCCACTAAAAATTATTAGAACTGATAAGCAAGATTATCAAGGTTGCAGGATACAAGATCAATATACCATTTCATACCCACTAGCTGGCTAGAATAAAAAAGTCAGATAGCAAGTATTGATGAGGATAAGGAAAAATGGAAACTCTTACACACTGCTGGGTGAGAATGTAAAATGATTCAGCCTCTTTGAAAACCAGAGAGGAATCTCTTCAGATGATTGAACATGGAGTTACCATAGGATCCAGCATTTCCACTCCTAGATATAGATAGTTGATAGATGATGATAGACAGATAGGATAAATGAAAGCATGTATCCACACAGAAATTTTTACATGAATGCTTATAGCAATTCATATTATTTATAATAGCTAAAAGGTAGAAAGAGCCCAATGTCTATCCATCCATTAATGAATGGATGAATAGATAAATGCAGTATATTCATATAATAGGATACCAGTTGGTCATAAAAAGGAATGGAGTACTGATACATGATAAAACCTGAGTGAACCTTGAAAATGTCAGCTAAATGAAAGAAGCCCCTTACAAAAGGCCATATACCACATAATTCCATTCATATAAAAGCCCAGAATCTATAGAGACAGAGTATATTTGTGGTTGCTTGGGTGTTTGTGGCTGGTAGAGAAAGAAGGGATGTGGCATGGGAGGAGGGGTGTGAACTAAAGGATATGGGGTTACTTTTCTCTTTTTGACAAAAATATTCTAAAATTGACTGTGGTAATAGTTGCACATCTGTTTGAATGCACTAAAAATCATTGATTTTTAAACCTTTAGTGGATAAATGGCACAATATGTGAATTATATCTCAATAAAGTTATTTAAGAATTAACCAATCATTTTCCTCAGATCTGCATATTGTCCTGTCTTCCTCATGACATTCTGTTAACCAAGCAAGGCACGAAGTACCTTGGAAGTTATTCTAGACCGCCCTCTTTACCTTTTCCCCAGCGTCCAATTCTCCATCCCATCTGCTTCCTAAAAATCTCCCTGACCTACTCCATCCTCTCCATCCCTCTAGCATTCCCTTAATTTATGGTCTTTTTAAAAATAATATTTCTCTTGATATGCCTTCCTGTGCTACAAGTTGAGTATGAAGGGAATGGTATTGAAATTGATGGTGTATGTGGAAGGGGGATTAATTGAGGGATATATTTATTTGTAATTCAGTACAGTTATTTATTTATTTATTTTTGTTGTTTTACTTGAAGAGTTTTAGGCAATGACAACGATACTGGCAGGGGTCTACTCCCATCTCTACACCCTTTCTTAATATTGCTCACTGTTTTTCTACATTTGTGTTTTTCTTTGTACGATTGATGCATTTTAAGCTGAATGGGGAAGCTATAGACATCATCTAGCCCAACTTTATAGTTTTGATCCTGTACTTGGGTCATTGTATTTCTTTCTTCTCATTATTCACTTCCAAGCAACCAAAAATTTCTATTTTACTTTCACAGTGCAAAAATTAGCAAAATATCTATGTTTCTATATACATATATATATATAATTATTTGCTATGACAATATATGATAATTATTTGAAGAAATTACAAAGCAATAAAAAATAAAAATAAATAAAGTAATTTGGGGGTCATTTACTTTCAGCCTAAAGAATTTCCTGTAATATTTCTTGTAAGATGGCTCTGGTAGCAACAAAATTTCTGTTTTTATTTATCTGGGAAATTTTTTATTTTGATTTTATTTTTGATTGCTAGCTTTGCTAGTATAGGAATCTTGGTTGACTTGTAATTAATTTTCTATAAAGGGGAAGATTTTAAAGGTAAAGAATTTTGCTAATATAGGGTAATGTTATCTGTGAAAAAGGAGATGGTCAGAAATAGTGATAATGATTAATACATTAATCGTTAAAAGAAAATTATTTCACAACGAGCATTATTGTGATTGACTTTTCTGGAAGATGAAATGTACAACGTTTAGTAGGTTGGAAAAGATTATTTGGCCAAACAGATGGCAGCTCTGGAAAGTTGAACTTCTATTTGTTTAGGTGGTTTTAAGGAGAGTACCTAGATTGGATTCCCTACATCTGAAAAACAAGGATTCTCAACTTGGCAAATATAGAGACTGGACTTTTAAAAAAATATACATCCAAAGATGATTTGACACTAGAAAAACAGCTCATTGTAAGCTGACAGGAATGTTCCTACCTAGACGTGTGCACTCTAACAATAATTAAACTGTATGGGCAGCAAGTGTGAAATCAAAGTTTTGCCCGGTCAGTACAGAAACAGAACACAGAAATTAGGTCATCTTAAGTATGTCAGGGCTGAGGCAAAGTACTCCCTTTAGGACCCCATCTAGGGACGACCTGTCAGGGAGCACAGTGCATGGCTTCATCAACCAAGACTCTCCCTGCAGAAAGAATGTCTTTTACATCTTCTCTTCAAGACTTCATCTTCCCTGCATGGCAATATATAGTGTATATCCGTATATAAAACAGCACACAGCCAAACTGATGTTGCTTCAGTCTGGAAATAAAAACTGATTGTGATTAATTTAGCATCAACTGTTCCCTGTGTCTGATTAGACTGCAGTTTGCTTTGGTGATGATGTCCGACATGTGTCCAGAACTGAGACATGAGTACTGTCTATTTCCTCAGCCATTAACATATCAGATTTTCATATGTGTGTTTTATTAGCTAAACTTTCAGAGAACACATTTTTCTCTGTTTTGAAGGTATTTCACCTCAGGGTTATCAATATTCCTTTACCATTTTTCTTTCTTTATACAAGAAAATAAACTTCACTATATATTCCAATATATAAAGAATATAAATTGGCCTGCACTCACATGAAAATGTTGACACATTACTTACTTTCCATGAAACAAATAAAACTAATTTGCACATTTAAATAACTATAGTTACAGTTTACAAATAAGACCTAAAGTTAAATACATAGTGCTTAATTAATAACCACCTCAAAAAAATAAAAAACACTTTGTTAAAGGCCTAACTCAGCATCTAATATCTGTGTATGATTTTTAAATCATTTGTTTGTCCTTAACCATAATAGAGCATTCTCAGTCTAAGGAAGCTATCTCACCAAGTGTCAGAAAGGATCAATCAGGTATAGTCAGGATGAACAATTCACACAATGAAGAGCAATTGGCCAACTGCTGCATGCCTGAGATGGGTGACTATTCCAGGAGAAATTACCCTAGCCCCTGCCCCCTCAAATATTTTTCCAGATTAATATTGCAGGAGACAAGAAAGCTAAACAAATCAATGTTTTGTCAAGATGTTACTGAATGTAACAAAAGACAGCAAACGAACAGGATTGAACACATAAAATACATGGAATTAAGTTAGAACTGATTTATCCTCAAAACAGAACCAGAGGCTAAAATATAGATATATTCCTTCTATGTAGATGTGCTATATACTATGTGCTGTGTGCTACCACCTTCTGGCATCTAGGCAGCCTGTACCTTAGATTCCTGGGAAAAAGGCATAGTACAAACTGTGGTGTGAGTGTGTGTGTGTGTGTGTGTGTGTGTGTGTGTGTGTGTGTGTATCTGTGTAGGACTTTGGACCCAGATTCCTATGTGGCACTCCTGGTCCTGGCCTAGGTCTTGGGATCTCCTATTGCCCCTCTACTCTAATACACAGATCAGATTTTTCAAATGTGATGTCCCAAGCAGTACAATTTATCCAAGAAAGTATAATTCATAATATTCAGTGCTCAAATTTGAAAAATAGTATTAAACCAAGTTAAGGGCCTCCTTAAAACTTTTCACATGCATTAATTTGCTATTGTATGTTGTGAATGGTCACAATTGAGATATACTATACTCTCTTTTCATCTAAATTCTTTCTTTCTTTTAGCTCTGTAATTCCCATTAATATCCAAGTCAAATATCCAGTGGAATGTTTTGACCTAGAGTAAACTCTGGGCTCTTAGGGCCCTTTACCCAAGTCTCATCCACTGTCTTGGCATTTGAAGTTGTGCCAGTCAGGAGGAAAGAAGCATGCATAACCAAATGAAGTTACCCACCCTGAGGTTTTCCATGTCTCCCAGCATGAGGTAGTCCCAAACCTATTTTATTGAGTGATGCATGATGGGAAACCCTCCATAAATGGAGCTGAGATCATAATCCCCAAATGAGGAAATCCAGACATAAAAGGGCGTTCCAACAATGACAAGGATTTTTGAGTATTGCTTCTCATACTGAATCTCTACCCAGAAGCACTGTGGTATTTGGCTTACCCTATACCAGCCCTCCTCTTCAGGCACTTTTACCTAGAGGAAGGTCTGGTGACATAGGGAATGTTTAGCATTCCCTGTTGGTCATAAGATTGTCACAACAAATGTACTTATTCATGGATACTGAATTGTAATTGTCTGTATAGTATTATTCTGACCACAGCAAAAGATAAACTTTGCAATTTACAGAGGGCTTTTAATAATATTTTATTTAATTAATTTTTTTTTTTTAGAAAAGGACCAAAAACTAACGCATGGAGAGGAACTCTGAAATGAACATGTTCTAGCTTAAATACAGAAGAATATCCCATAAGGCATCAGGAATCATCTAATGCTTTACTTTCAAAGAGTGCCTGCTGGCAGGCAATGCTCAAACTTCCTATAGATTGGCAGAAAAAATAATTATTGTGACTCCACTGTGCAAGATGAATGGGAAAGAAAGGGTCCTGGTACACAGAACTTCATTTTCAATAAAGTCTCCTAAAGAGAAAAGAGAGCAACAACTGAACACTCAATTTTATTCTTTGTTCAGCTTGCTGGGTCACAAGAAATGCTTCTTTCTGAAGTGTTTTTTCTTATAAAATAATAAGATAATGTGAAGCAGGCCGGAAGAGTAGGGATTGCACTCATTTCAGAATCAAACAAACCAAGAATTGAATAATCACCTCCTCTACCTTCTAGCTACGCACCTTAAACAAATTCATTAACTTTTCTAAGCCTCAGTTAGCCCACCCCACACATGAAGATAATAATACCTAACGTGAATAATTAACATGTGACTATCACCTTGAAATGTTTCTGGCTCCTAATAGGCATTCTATACATTAGGTCTCTACTAGGCTAAAATGAGAGCAAAGCAAATAAGAAAATACTAAAGGCAGAATAGCACGAAGAAGAATGTCTTGTGTCTACACTCGTTACTTCACAGAAAAATCATTTTACCTAATTTGATCATAGGTCCTATCATAACTCATCTTTGACAAAATACAGCATTTTGTGGTGTGAAATGAGCTATAAACCTGACAGTCAGATCTAGCATTGGTAAGGGATAAAACTAATCATGCTGTTGGTGGATAGGAAGAAGCCTTAGCTCACCTAACTTTAGGAAGTTTTTGGAAGACAACAGATTGTCAACCAAGCAAAGTTTGGTTTATTTGGGGTTTTACTTTAGAGCCAGTATCTGAAAAAAAAATTCTATACTATTTTCCAAACATAAGAAACTGATGATATAAAATTGCAAATAATGATTGAATATTAGAATCAAATGCAGTAGCTAGTTCAAATGTCAATGCCAGTTGTTCTTTAAACACTTCCACTTACAACTTTAGGATTAAAGAGGCCTTAGAGCTTGTTTTGACCTAGACTGCACTTTTAGCGTGGCCCTGAGGTTATTGTCCTGACACACTCGATGCTCAATTTTGCTGAAGCATAATAATGAATACCAACCTGTTAAAGGTGAAATAAAACCAGACTGCTTGAAAGCGGATGTATTCTCCCGAGGATAGCTCAAGAGAATTGGAATGTGGGTTGGGGTCCCCTATATCAAAAAAGTATTTGATAGAAAGCACATTAGCCAGGAGAGATAATACAAGAATCAGTGCCAGGGTACTCCAGTGCAGGGTCCCCAACTCTCGAGGCCAGGCTGGTACCAGTCTATGCCTGTTAGGAATCAGGCCACACAGGAGGAGGTCAGCAGTAGGCAGCAAGCATTACTGCCTGAGCTCCACCTCCTGTCAGATGAACACCAGCACTAGATTATCATAGGAGCACAAACCCTGTTGTAAACTGTGCATGTGAGGGATCTAGGTGGCGTGCTCCTTATGAGACTCTAACTAATGCCTGATGATCTGCAGTTGGAACAGTTTCATCCCAAAACCATCCCCCCATCCCAACTCCATGGAAAAACTGTCTTCCACAAAACTGGTTCCTGGGGCCAAAAAGATTGGGGACCACTGCTCTGGTGCATCAGTCAGTGTTTGATTGGAAAACCAGAATCACCGTAAGTGTCAATGGAACCCACAGAGATGTCCATGGAAAGCCACAAGCGTCTCCACTACATCTTCTGGGAATAGGGTTGCCTCTTCACTTTGGCCCTGGAGTCTTAGTTCCTCTCATTAGCAGCCTCTAAGCCAGAACTATAAGGGGAAAGGGATTTTTGGAAATGTAGTTTTCAGCCTTGGAAGGGCATAGGTGCTGAGTTGGTAAGAGACAACCCAGCTCACCTGGTTATAGTGTATGCCCAGATGTCCTGACCCTTTCTGGAGAGCAGTGAGAGTGTCACAGAATGTTTGGAAAGATGGATGTCCCATAGTATTTCTTTTATATTCTTTCTGTGAGAACTCAATGGATACAAGTAGAAACAAAATGACTCGGTCAAATAACAAAATGAAGACAAAAGACAAATCAAGAATGTGTGGAGTAATATTTATGTGGCAGGTGAAATGTGTGGAGTAATATTTATGTGGCAGGTGTTAAGTGATTTACGGACATTAGTTCATTTACTTTCACAACATAGATTCTTTTTCTTTCATTTTACAGACAATGGAACTTTGTTGTAAAGGTGAAATAAAGATCTCTGAATCATTAAATCAGTAGATGATAAAGTCAGTGTAAACTAAGTTTGGATCTAAACACAGAGCCACTGCTACCACACCATATCACATCCCATCAAGGGGTTAGAAAGATTGACATTGCTTTTAGTAAGATACAAGTATTTTCATTATTAACTCAAGTCTACATCGGCATTTATTTAACTTTTAATGTGTATTTTGTGGCATATCCTACCTGCATCAGAATGATTGGGACAATCAGCTTTTTTTTTTTTTTTTTTTTTTGGAGTCTTGCTCTGTCACCAGGCTGGAGTGCAGCCGTGCGATCTCAGCTCACTGCAATCTCCATCTCCTGGGTTCAAGCAATTCTCCTGCCTCAACCTCTGGAGTAGCTGGGACTACAGGCGTGTGCCACCATGCCCAGCTAATTTTTGTGTTTCTGGTAGAGACGAGGTTTCACCATGTTGGCCAAGATGGTCTTGATCTCCTGACCTGGTGATCTGCCCACCTCAGCCTCCCAAAGTGCTGAGATTACAGGTGTGAGCCATCATGCCCAACCAAGAATCAGCATTTTAAACTAGCTCTCTGGGTGATTAATGTTTATCTTTTAGTTTGAGAACTGCTGATTTAGACATTTTCTCAATCATCAGGATGAACACAGAATTTGGCTAGGGGCAGGAGACAATTTTTCTGCAACTAATACGTTAGGATATGCTAAAATACAGAATTATATAAAGGTTCTGCAAAATACAGAATTGGAGGTAATTCAAATTTTTTCCTTCTTTGTAAATATCATTGCTTTACATGATTGCCTTCTGGAATTAAATAACATGTTGTGATTATTTCCAAATAAACAGGAATCTCAAATTTAAAAAGTATAAATGTTTACTTTTTTCTAGGAAAAAGCAATAGTCATAAAAGGCTATTATATTTTCAAATGTATAATAATGTTGTCTATGATTCCTTTTGTCCCCAGCTAATTGTTACCCCTTTTGAAAGCAGCTGCATTGTTAAAGTCAATTAAGGATGCACTTGAATCCATTTTGGTTTCCTACACAATGACCTAGTACACTCAGCACTCCAGTGACCCTGGCAGACAGAACAGTACTTTGAAGTACTTAACAGTCATTACGCAGAAACTGTGTAATGACTGGTCCTAGTTTCCAAGTAGAATATAATAATCTTAATTGTAGAGACATCTCTTTTTGACTGAGAGATCTGCGCTAGATTGAAGCTTGTGCTTGAAATGAATTCAGCAGCAGAAGGAAAATTATATTTAAGAGAATAACCATAAAATTTCAAGTGTGTCACCTTGAGGATTTAAGCAAGTAACAAATTTCTTATTATTCTGTTCTCTGTAGAGCTAAATGTTTGTGCTTTTAATTTTCTTCTCCGGTAACCAATACATTAAAAACAAAATCCAAAAAACAGTTCTTATGCCCAGAATGCCATCACAAACTGAAAGCACAAAATATTTAGATTTGATAACCTAAAAAATATGTAAGTTAATTTAAGATAATTAAGTATTATAATTGAGAAACATAATGGACATGAGTTTTTAAGGCTTCTTGAAAAAATATAAATTAAAAGAAGTTATTATAAACATGTCAAATTGGAAAAATGTGGTCCATCAGACACTGTTAACTTTCTTCCCAGAAATTTCACCCCTGACTCCTCCACTCTCAGTTGCTTGATTCCTGACTACAGGATGGGTTCTACCACCTGGAAACCATGAACAACCAGAATTTTGTTCCAGAACTGCCTTCCTGGTAAAGTCTTCTTTTTGGTGACTTTCCATATGCTCATTGACACCACGTTCCCTCAATTCCTATAGGATATGTTTTTTTGATTACTTAATCTGGATTTCAGATTGTGGATCGGGGACCTTTTTACCTTCTGGTTTTCTGGGACTCATCTCACCTGCCTCTTAATATATTTTTATTTTTCTTGATGCTCCTATACATGCCCCAGACACCTGATACTTTTTCTTCCCTGGAGGTCCTGGTGGTTTCTCTAACCCACTCAAAATCACCTTTCATTTCAGTGAAAAAGATTAGGAAACCAGTCTTTCCCCAGATCTCATTTTTTCTCACATTCATTGTAGGAGTTTTCATACCTTCTCTTAACGTAGCTATGAGAATTAAATGAAATGACACGTGAAAGGTACCCAGTGTCTATATACATACAGCACCTGTTGCTTGGCAGGTCCTCAAGAACTGAAGCTAATTCTTCCCTATTTTGTTACTCTCATAATGCTTTGACACATATAAAAATTTTGTAATGTTTCTGTTTCATGCAGTAGTTCATCTACTGTTTCTAAACAAATGCAGCATCCAATAAATTTTTTAAATCTCCAGGGTAAGAATTATATGCTCTAGTTCATTTGAAAGCCCCATTGCCTAGCACCAGGCTGGGCATGATAGTATGTGTACAATAAATAATTACTGAAATGAATTAAAGTGAATGGAGAGCTGGAAGAGTTTGGATGGCAGTTGCCAGGCTGCCTGTTACACGTTATTCCTGACAGAATGTCTCCCATGAATTAATGATTCAGGACACCAGGTGGTCAGCTACAAGCTTCCTAAAAAGGGAAACAAGCAGGAGGAGAGGAGGATTTAGCACGAAAGCCTAAGTTTTACCACAGTGAATTCAAAAATCCTTCTTTATCGCTTTCAAAGCTAGGCAGCTGGTGTCACAGCTTCATTCCAACTGTTTGTGTGGTGGCAGTGACATTCTGGGGCACAAGGCCGGATGTTCCTGAGCCCCATCTCACTCCCACCCCGATTCCAGGTGCCAGTGATCTCAATGATTCATTTGCACTTACGTTCACCTAAATAGGTACAAAATTTGTAAAACTACATCTCTAGTGGTTTTTTTAAGTCAAAGTTAATGACAAATTCTAAATGATTTTTAAACTCCCTGGGCTTCAAACTTGGCAGGAGCACACCAGTTTGGAAGGAAATTGTTACTGGTACCAGGACTCTCCTTTGTTTTATAGCTATAGCCTGCGGGAGTTCTGAGAGTCCTAGGAATGAACTTTGAAAAAATGTTATTGAACTCATGCCTGCCCTGATAATGAGAATGAAGCCTTGTATTTCTCAATTCAAATAAAAGAATATTTTTTTCTTTTAACCAATGGCTATTTAAGCATTTGCAACTGCACATGCACACACATACATGAAACACTTTCCTCTCTGAAATATTGCATACTATTCTTGCACATAAGTATCCCTTTTCATAACCACGGCAGACCATGGCCCAACAAGATGAGCTTAAAGGGCCTAAAAATGCAACCTCCATCCAGAATTTGACTTTGTAGGTCTTACTTTAGCTTTTGGAGAGGTCTGGATGTCTTATGGTGTATAGCATCTGTCTATAAACATGAACATTTTCAGACAGATGGCACTCTACATCTGAGCTTCCATCTTCTTTTATTTCTAGCAGAAGTAGATCAGACGAATATACAGATTACACAAATCTACACATTAACCTGATAAAGG